AACTCACTAACCGCACTTATTGCAGAGCAATGACTCTTTGGGTCTACCCTTAAGCTAAATTATTTATCCACGATTGCCAGCGAAGATCAAGCGATCCTGGCCCATACTAAATAATTCGTGAATGAATGGATCACTAAACCCAAAATTAGTTTATGAAATCTGCAAATCAAATTTTTTAGTTGTAAAAGTATTTATTATAAAAACGAGCTAAGTATATGCTATACAAAGTGCAAAGCACTCTAGAAAATTGTAAAATACTTATTTGATTATACTCTATATTAACACATATGAATCTAATTACATAATTTTACTCTTGAATATGTCTATCTCTACTTCTACATCAACTACTCCTATTAATAACATTAAAAATCTTGCGTATAATATTCTAAAAACTTTCAAGGATGGCATTGTTAAGGGTATAAAAATTACAGAATTAGAGCATTGTTTGGTATGCAAAGATAAAATTATTACACATCCTCCCAAAGCATTCACAACACTATCTTTTGGGCACGTTTTTCATAGAATTTGTATCGAAAAAGAACTTTTACTTACAATGCCAAATACATGCCCATTCTCTGGTTGTAGTAAGGAGGTCGAAATTATCGAAACAAATGCTAGAAGGGGTTCTGAGTCAAGTACATCATCAGTTGTTAGGGGGATGGAAAAACATAGTATCCAATCTCAAGATTTGCCAGAAATTATAGAAGAAGATATGTCAGATGTAGATGATAATGAAGATGGTAAAGGTAATTGTCCAACAGACCAAAGCATTATCTCTTTAGAAAAAGAATCCTGTAAAAGACCTAGTAAAGATACCCCTAAAAATAAATTATCTAGTAAGAAAGTAAAGACTAAAGATGGAAATGTATCTATGTTAAAAAAACTTATTAAGGAGCTAAAATCGCCAAGTTCTTCAACAAGTAGTACCACTTCTCAGGCTGAATCTATCACAAGTCCAAGTAATTTTTCTGATTTATACAATACAATTGTTAAGGCTAAAGAACGAATTGAAAATGTGAATCAAGAAATTATTATATACCATTTTGCTTTTGGAAAAAAGCTTAAGGAAAGGTTAGCCGAATATATGAAAGATAATAAAGAGTGTAGATCTCAGAGAAAACTTTATAAAGAAGTTGAAAAACAGCTCCTATCTAACCTTTCGAAAAATGCAATTGAGAAAAAATAGAAAAAGCAAGGAAAATTTATGACCTTTTTAGTAGCATAGGTGAGGATAAAATACAACAGGTAAGATCTTATTCAGTATTAAGAATTTCTAAATTAAGTTGGGATGAAATCGATGCTATAGAAGAGGAGTTTGAATAAGATCGCCTTTACTGCGCCATGATCACATGACTTTGGTTGACCGATCGGTCAGTGAAGCCAGAACAGCTAAAATACATTAAGCCACCAAAATTAATAAAAATTTTGTTTTAACATTAAGTATTGATTATATCAAAATTACATAGTTTTTTGTTGTATAAAACCCGTCAAAAGATAAAAAGATAAATTTGGTTGCAAAAATTCGCTCGCAAAATAAAATTATAACCCTACCATATCGTATATCATAATTTATTTTTGACTTATTGTACAACCTATGTTATGACTCTATGCATAATTTATTTATGATACGGGGCATAGGTATAAAGTGCCATTTTTTGAAATAATGGATCATGACACATTGATTTTTTGCAAAGAAATTTTAGTTACGTTAATATATCAAAATGAAAAATCAGAATGCATATAAAAACAGGAAAAATTACATCGAAAAGTGGCATATCTTTAAAGGATGGAAGCATGGGTGTAAGGTTTGTGACGAATGCAATCATCATTCATACCTATATTGTAAGACCTGTAAAAAAGTAGTGAATAGAATATATAAGCGGTGTGAATGTAAAAATTCTGTAACTTCAAGTCTTTAACTCGTCATCCAATTGGTATTTTTGATTTATAATCAGGTAGAATTTAAATTATTCTGATATGTGAATATCTTTGTTACGTGAAAAATGGAAAATATTACTTGTGCCTGAAGAGGTGTGACATAGGCTGTCACAGTGGCGCAGTAAGTTATTTTTGTTAAACTAACCGTTATCATTATTGTTATTACGTACGTACTAGACCAAATTCGTTATATTCAATTATTCAAACTCAATTGAACAATATTACTGTATTACAGTATTATTAGCTTATCAGTTATGCATACTTTTATTTTATCATGTGATTATTGCACCTGTGATCTTAAATTTTAAAACCGTTCTAACCAAATTCGGCCAATCACCCAGAAACTAAGACAAATTAGATTATCATAATAAAATAGATGATTGTTCCTACCAGTTTTTTTTAATTGAAACTTGAAACCTTTCTTTTTGGATATAAAGATTATGTCTTCACCCTATATGCCGTTTTCGCCATTTTTTGCCACACAAACGGAGGAACCCACAATGGACTCTGCAATCAAAGAGCTGGATACTGAGGGGCTTATTCAGTTTTTAAAGAAAAAAAACTTAGAGTTAAAGGATTCAAGCTATGAAATTTTAAAAAAACAAGAAATTCCTGAATCTGTCTTCTCTAATTTTACAGAAGATGAATTTCGTAGCATGGGTCTACTACTTGGGCCTGCGAAGATTTTGGCAGATTTTACCAAAAAATAAGAACACAAAAATTGAAAACGTATTCATCGTATAAAACAGGAAAAGACTTTAAAGATGTTTTAAAAGAATTCAGAATCGTTGGGACTAGCATAGGAGACATACCACAGTTTACGCCTGGTAAGGTGTTTTCTAAGTAAACCAAACTATTGTACATTGAGCGGTATTATTGCAAGGGTGGAAATACTTACCGCTTTTTTAACAGAACTATATAAAATTAGTGAAGATGATGAAAATCTAAATCTATGTATGACGCTTATAAAGACCAAGTTGCCCATTCTGGGAACCTACTTGCCGACGATAATGAAAGGGAACGTTGTGAATATGTAGAATCTATCCTGGATTCAGCGATACATATTGTCAAAAGGATCACAAGAAAACAGGTTACTCGCTACCCGCAGATGGAAGTTACCAGAGAAGATAATATTGGTATAGTAGATTATGCTATAAAATATCAATCCGAGCTCATTTGTATAGCCGAAAGTAAATTTTAGAATATAACCGAAGGGTTTATGCAAAATCTGCTTCAACTTCAAAGTGTATCTCAAATCAACAAGTGCATTATCGGTAATGTTTTCAGGGAGAAGGATTATATTTATGGAATAGTAACAATAGCAGAAGTATGGTATTTTTTAAAATATACCAATGAGGGAATTGCTTGCACGAGTAAAAATCCGCTTAAGGTTGAATTTAATGAATCTGCATTAGAAATTTTAAATGAGGAACGTAATTTACGTAATAATCTAAAAAGGATTATTGAGATTATTACAGGTTTATTAATAGATAAATTGGGGGATACTGAGCCACCGGTGAAGAAGGTGAGAAAGGATAAATAAGATATTGCTTTCTGGAAAAATATTCTTTTACGAATTGTAACGACTATGGCTTTTTAGTATCAATAAAGAAAAGCTTTATTATATTAATTGCATGTTTATAACCACAAAAGAAATTGAGATAACAGCATAAATAATTAATGTTCATAAAAAATAAACAACATAAAATAAAAAATACAAATGAATAAATTTTTGGGGGTTTACATAAAATATAAACGGTATCTTTATTGGTAGTAAAGCCTTAACATGTGTAATAAAAAACTTTATTGATATAAATAAAAATATGTGATATTAATAAATATAATAAAAACTAGAATACGGATAATAGGATTTATTTGATATTCTTGAATTACTTCAACAATTTGCGACGTTTCGAAACACATTCTATATAACTTTATTATGATATGATGCTGTAAGCATCAGTCCACCCTACTATGCAAATACGGTTTCAACTGCTTCGGCAAATCCTAAAATTATTTCTTCAGCTGGGGTAGAATACCTATTTCCATCATTTTTTAAACGACGAATACTTAAAACAGAACCAATTTCTTCTAAAGTCGAATCCATAGAGGTATAAAAACCCGTGATTAACAATATTATTCACACTGTGGTATTATTATTAGTAATTAAACAATGCTATTGGTTCTGTTGCAAAATATATTATACGGCCCTCATTTTTTATGATCAGTAACAAACAGACTTGGTTTTACATATTTTTGAAGTAGCTGGCCCTGGTAGCTCGATTTTATATAATATATACAGTAATAGTGATTACTTTTGCATATGTTTTCTTACCGATGTATACTAACCTACTTATGATGGACAATTGGAATAAACACATTACGTTTTTATTTTGAATATATCTGCATTTTATGTAAAACAATGGCAGATTCACAAACTACAATTGCTTCATTAAGAGAATTAAATTTCAAGCTTGTGGTCGAGATCAGTGAACTTAGAAAGAAGTTCGCTAAGGTTGAGGCTGAGAATATCGAAGTTAAAGCTGAGAATATGAAATTAAAACAAAATAAAGAAAAAATAGAGGCCAGATTTGTAAAACTAGAGCAAAGCAATAAAGAGAATACCAATCTAAAAGCTGAAGTAGCAAAATTAAGATGCGACATCTTGGAAATCAAATTACAAACCAGAGTTAATACTGATGAACATGTTGCATCTCATATTGAAGTTATTTCGCAGTCTGATAAGAAGAAAGACATTAATTCTGATCTCTTGTCTGAAGTAGAACATAGCTCAACACAATCTGAATCTTTAACAGAACCTAAAATATCTACAACCTCTTTACTGGAAGACATTGACATGCCGGCGAATACCGATGATGATTCAGCTGAGACACTTGAATTTGCAGAAAGAGTATATAAGAAAAATGTTAGTAATGAAATAAAACAGAGAAACGGAGAGAAAAAACTTTTATGTGAGTCTTTTGAAAATAAAACCCAAGACTTATCAGGGAACAATCAAATTCATGCGATTTTAGTAGAGCCAGATTTCTCGAAAACTAAAATATCTGAATTGCAACAAGACAATAGCACAAAAAATGAAAACAGAAATCCAAGCTGTAGCCAAAATATTATGACTGAATATCAACCAAGCGACCCCGGGACTCACCCTCATATGAATGAGAATTCATATGATTCTATATCTCTCGCCAATATAACCACAAACGATTCAATTCAGAAAGATAGTCAAATTGAGATGCAAAAATTTATACAAGAGTTGAGTTTGGAATTTGTCTTGGAATCAATCGAAGTTATTAACAGAAATAGAAAGCAGGGTATACTTGATAACACTAAAAATGAAGCTATTAAACTGGCCCGTATGTATCAAAATGCAAGAAAGGCTAAAAAGAATACTATCCACGCTAAGCAAGAAGAAATTTTAAGCTGGTATCATTATGCAAAAAGCTTTGAAAAAAGAGTTTATGATGTCTTATCTAATTGCAAAAATACTAAAAGAGCGGATAACTTAGCAAGAATTCAGGTTTATGATGAAATCTGGAATTGTCTTTCCAGCATCTCACGTGAAAATTTCTGCAGACAAACTCAAAAAGCTTGTAAAATTTATAAGTTGTTTGACGGCATAGGAATAGAAAAGGTCAAACAAGTTAAATCTTATAGCACAAATGGGATATCAAAATTCACTAACCCTCAAGTTCAATATATTATAGATTATTTCTCTAATAGATGTGAACCCTGCATCCCCAGGATGCACGATCATATGACTGAAATTTCTGAAACTAATGATAAAATCTTGTCTGAAGAAAATACATCAAAAACTGAGATAAGCTTATCAACTGCACCTATCTCATTGTCTCATACCTCTAATTCGAAAGACAAATCTTTACTGGAGACTAAGATAAGTGCATCGTCTAATCCAACTTATGACCATACTTATTTTCGTAATAAAACACTAGAACAGTATTCTAATTTATATAAAGATGGTAATAGTGAAAATGTAGATTATTACAGAATTACTGATGAAATATTATGTCCTTTATGCAAATTAGATCATGATGACGATAAAGATATAGAAGGAAGATATAAAATTATATCATATTATATTAAATGTGAACAGCGTGGAATTGAAATCGAGGTATTGGTATGAACTTCATCTTATCCCTTAATATGTAGACCAATGTAGGCAAATTTGCCTGCATTTTTGTACTTTTTTAGCTCTAATTTACTTTTTTTTTTTTTTTTTTTATTAATATAATGTCATAGTAGAAACTTTGTTACAATAAACCTATATTAATCTAAAGAT